TTGAATGTTGAATCCGAGATACAAGATTAATCCGAAAAAATAAAGAAGAAAATCGAGATGAAATTCAAAGTGTAAGAGGTTCGATTATAGGTCTCGGAACACATCCAATATTAGGGCTCGAAAAACTGAGCAAAAACAAAAACAAAAAACAAAAGAAAATGAAAAAACGTAAAATATTCCCGCGAGCAGATCCTAGTAGCGCTAGGGGCGCTCGCGGCGCTAGCCTGGTGGCTGGGGGAGCTCTTTAGGGTTGTTAGGGGGGCGCTAGGTCGGGCAGCGGCGCTAGGTCCTGTGTAGCGGCGCTAGCTGGGCGCACGGGAGCATGCTGGCGTGCACGCAGGGTGGGGGTGATGCGGGCGCGCTGCAGGCGCCTAGGCGTGATGCGGGCATGCTGGACTAGGGCTTGGGCTGCTTTGCGCAATTTCGCGTTTCGAGCTCGCTTGAGCTCGTTTGAACTCGGATTTGAGTTTCGGTTTTTTCTACTTGTCGCCAATGAACCCTTCTAGTTAATTATTCTTGCCCAACTAATATTTTCTTGAAATCTTATCCTCCCGAAGCTCCCGACCTGCACACTAAAAATGACAAAAAAAAGAAGAAAACAAAGAAATACAAACGAAAACACACAAAAAAAAAACTCGAAATAAAGGAAAACACGTCATAAACTACAAAAGTAACTAAAAGCTAAAGAAATAACCTAAAATGGAAGAAAAAGAAAAGCAAAATAACAACAAAAATTGTAAGAAAAATTTGACAAACAATTGTACTTGCTCAATCTGTGGAGAAGCTCAAGAGGATGCAGAACACATATTTGTTACTTGCCCTAAGGCGACAACCTGTTGGAAGTTGTTGGGTGTTACCTGGGAAACTCTGCATGTGAGACAGTTAAGTCTGCAAGAGTGGTGGAAGGAGGTGTGCTCTAGTAGTGATTATGAACAACTACTGGACAGAATTGCTATCTCAGTGTGCTTGCTGTGGAAAATTTGGAAAGAGCGAAATAATTTGTGTTTCAAAAAGGAAGAATTTCTGGAACTGCATGTGGTGAATGGAGCAAGGAGAGATTGGCAGGAGATCTCATTTCTGGAAAATGCTGACAAATAGAGCTTTTTAAGCCTTCCTAAACCTATCGCTGCTAAAGAGTAGAAGTTTTCCCAGGGGGTAGGATATGTCTCTTTACATATTAGTGCCCTACTCTCTTCTGCTGGCAAAGTAGAAATAGGAGGTGTAGCTTATAAGAAAGAAGTTGTGGTTAAAGAGTGGCAGAGTTCATGTGACTGGGCTGAAGAAACAACTGCAGCTCTTCTTCTTGCACTCAGGTGGAACTTGATATGGGATATTATATAGCTGAGGAATAGACCGATTTGCGAGCATCGATCGAACAACCTCGAGGTGGAGAAAGCCGGATTGGTAGAAGGATGATCGACCAAAAGGAAGAAGATCGAGCAGAATAGCAGAACTGGTCGAGGATCAACTAAAAGGAAGGAGATCGAGCAGAATAGCAGAGTTGGTCGAGGATCGACCAAAAGGGAGGAGATCGAGCATTCAACAGGTGAAGAGCAGTCTAGAGCGTGGCGTGAACGCGTAAGGGCGTGTGGATGGCGTTAGGAGATCCCAACGGCCTACGCAGAGGAATAATCTCCCTCAGCTCAGAGGGACACGTGGCGAGAATATATTGGTGCAGAGTGATAGTAGCGAAAGCCACCTCTGACAATCTCTGACACACGCACACTATGTGTGTACGGACGGGCAGGACAACTCACCAAAAGCCAGCCAATTCCTAGGGCAGGTATCTCACTCCTATATATATGGGAGTGGGTCTTTTCTTGTAAATCACGATTTATCCATTCTTTACTTTGGAAAATTGAACAAACACATATTGACTTAAGCATCGGAGGCTCTTCACCGGAAAACTCCTCCGGTGTGAGAGTTCTGTGCAGGAACGCGGCGTTCTACCGACGAGGAAGAAGGAGGCAAGTTGATTTCAAGCCGGTCGGAGTGTTTTGCGTTACCAGAACTTAAACAAGGCAAAAGAGGAAGGTTGTAATAAAGTCAGGTGTTTTGTGGATGCATATGAAGAGTGGCAGGATTTTAGTGAAGACTTTTTCTGTAATACCGCTTTAGAAGTTGGTTGGACTGATATTAATATGTTTTAGGTCTTAGTTTGATTTTTGTATTTATCCTTTGCCTAGTGTTGTTAGTGATCGTGCTCGTAGGCTAGCTTTGATGGCTTTGGAGGGAGAGTAGTGTTTCGACTCCCCGGAATACTCCTGATCCAGCCTCCATGTTAGAGGGAGGAATTTTATAACTAATTGGTTATTGTAATGTATTATTTGTGTTATTAATATAACTCGTACGAATCCCGTACGATGCACGGGTAAGAGATATTCATTAGTATTTATAAATTAAAAATGATTATTAGATAATATTTATAAATTAAAAATAGCGAATCAATATGTAATACATTTACCTATATTAATTTATTGAAAATGTTATATAAATTTTATATCGTGCAAAATTACATAAAACATGTCAATTTAATTAGTATACAACCCGTATGGTGCACGCAACTGATAATAAATTATATTATATTTATTTCAAAATAAGTGTCATTTTAAAATATTTATTGAGAAATTCGATTGGACTACAATGTGATTCCATAAAATAATTCTTTTGGTAAAATTTTATCATATATTTAAAAATCTATGTGAATAATAAGTACAATTATAAAACTTATAGTGTTCATTAATTAAAATGAATTTAATTTTGTATAAACTATCAAAATAAAAAAATTTAAGTTGTTGAGGGGGCGATTGGATATAAATTGAATAGTAAAAAATCCAATCAAAACTCAAATTTAACTCAACTTTAACTCAATCTCACTATCTTCAATATTACCAATATAATTAAATAATATCAACCAATCATTCTTACACATCAAATCAACTTTAATTCACTATTCATCCACTCACATAATTTTAACTAACCATCACTTCCAATCATTTTTCTCTTACTTTAAATCAAATCAACTTTAATTATTTTATTTAAATATTATTTTAATATATCCACTAACAACTAACCATACCACTTTTTTCCAAAATTAACTATAGTTAAAAACAAACCAAATAAAAACTAGTTGAATCCATAAACAATCACCCCCTGAGTAATTTATTAAACTATAATTAATTGATTATTTCATTTATGCCTAAGTTAATATTGATACGTAAGTTATGAATAATTAATTATTTGACTTTTATATTTGAAACCCAAATTTGAACTATACGATAAATTTCCTTATATATCTATATATATATATATATATATATATATATATATATTCCCTTATATATAAATTCCCTTATATACATATTATCTCACAATTTTCTAGAGTTGTTGTCGGTTAATTTTTAAATTTTATTAACCAATATTTGTTCAAAGATGTTTATGATTTTCAAGAGGAATACATACCATTTTGTCAAATTATCATTAACATTTTACGGTAAGTTATTATATAAATATGCTAAAATTTGAGAAACATATTACCTTGATTTTATAACAAATCAACATAAAATTCGACTTTCATACCCATAAAATTTAATATCTCATAATAACAAAAATATCATTTTTCAATATTTTTTTGTTCGAAAAAGATACATTTATCCTTTAAAAGAGTTGGATTGCGTAGAGTTTTCATGGTGTTTTGCTTGATAAGTCCTCATGATTTCTTATCAATATAGAATATCTATTTGTTCTTTATGTTTTGATTGATTTTTTGATGAGTGGGGATACAATAACAACTTAGAGTGTGTATGTTATTTTTATAGGCAAATTGAGTGTTAATTTAATAGGTGAAAAAAATATCTCGATATTGGATGATTGGAGCGTTTGAATGATATTATCTAAATATGTGAAATGATATTCGCATACATTATTAAAATTTGGAATGATTTGATATTATCCATCAAATTAAACAAAAATTATATTTGATAATATCTCTTTATTTTAGTATAAAAAAATAAATGGCTCACTTATGCTTTTTTTTCCTTGGGTTGCGATATTAATACATAAGCTTAGCCATTTCAAAATCTTTTTAGATTAATAGTTTAGTTATCCACATATTTATCAAATAAGTGTTTGACGAAGATTTATCAAAATCTTTTTAGATTAGTAGATAGTTATCCACAGATTACATCATGAGTTATCTGCAGATTATTGTTCAAATATTATCTCTACACCATTAACTTTGAATTCAAATTGTGGTTTTCCGTCAATAAAAAACTACACCATTATTATTTTCAAACTTTCTATAAATAGAATGTCAAAGATATTATTTATTTGGTCAAAAGTTTTCAAAAAAGATTTAACCAACAACCCTTTTATATATATATAGATATAGATACATATAGATATAGATTTTCATAAGCGAGCTGCCTTTTACACGATTTGAGGATATGAGAGAACAAATTGTTGTTCAATTTACTCATTTTTTTCTTTAATAAATTTTGAAGCAATGTATAAATAAAAAAAAGTACAAAATTATTAGACCTAGGAGTCTGAACCATGATATATTTTATTATATTAATAATCTTTAACCGTGGTCATGCAAGACGATGCCGATTTAATTAAAAAGAGCGTTAAATAGCTAAACTCAATAATAAGAAATTAGATAATAGAATAAATTATTCAGAATTACGAAAATGTTCTTTCTATATGTGCAAAACAATATAATTAGCTTTTTTTTATTTGTTATTTTATATAGGACCACATTTAACTGGTTGTAACAAAAACTTTTATTGATAGATTAAATAAAAATATAGTTTATCTTATATCTTACATGTATCATATTTAACNATTGAAAAAAAAAAAAAAGAATCTTGCATGTGGCTTTGAGTTATTTTGCTTCTTTCTCCCCAAAGATGGTTTCTTTACCGAAAAGCGTACGTTTATCTTTCCAAAATCAATTTTATTTTAATTCTAATTAAATTCATAAATTTTCGTTGTGTGAGTGGAGCAGCTCAGGCACTTCCGGTGGGGAAAGAAAAATGATGCCCACAATCGAAGAAGAGCTCGAGCGAAGATCCTTACTCTACAGCCTCCTAATGCCCGTAATGACCCAATTCGTCCCAGGCCTCGAAAAAGGCAAAGCCATGTACCTCCTCTTCATAAAATCCGAGACAAAAACCCCAGGCGGGCTTTTAGCCCGGCCCGTCCTCACCAGCTACTACAAAAGCTCCCATTTCAAAGACAGACCCTTCGACCCTTACACAAACTACACGAGCCCGAACGAGACCATCCTCTGCCCGGACTCCTACCAAAGCATGTACTCCCAAATACTCTGTGGGCTTTGCCACAACAAAGAAGTCCTACGAGTCGGGGCAGTTTTTGCATCCGGGTTTATTCGGGCCATCCGCTTCTTGGAAAAGCATTGGGCCCTGTTCTGCCATGATATCCATACTGGGTCAGTCAATTCTTTAGTATCCGACCCGTGTGTCAGGGAAGCCGTGATGCGGGTCGTTAAACCCGACCCGGATCTGGCGGACTTTATTGAGTTGGAGTGCAGGAAGGGTTGTTGGCAGGGGATTATAACCCGGCTTTGGCCCAATACTAAGTACGTGGATGTTATTGTGACGGGGACTATGTCTCAGTATATCCCGACTCTCGACTATTATAGCAACGGGTTGCCGCTCGTGTGCACGATGTACGCCTCGTCTGAGTGTTACTTTGGGGTTAATCTGAACCCGCTTTGCAAGCCTAGCGAAGTTGCGTACACGCTTATACCGAGCATGGCGTATTTCGAGTTCTTGCCGGTTCACAGAAACAGTATTGAGAAGGAACAAAACGAACTGGTTGACTTGGTCAACGTCAAGCTCGGACAGGAGTACGAGCTTGTTGTCACTACTTATGCCGGTAAAACAAACCGAATTATATATCTTATTAGATTATATATGTTCATTCTTAGTGATTATGAGTTTAACAGTTTTGCTATGGAGCCATCGGATGACTTGGCTTATGAAGCCATCTACACTTATTCACCAATAGTGTATTGACACGTGTTCTGCAATAAATTCAATTTGGACAAGTGTCAATACATTAAGTGGTGGATGAGTCCATAGAATTTTTGCATGAGTTAATTACAAAACATGCATACTATTTTCATTGGAAGGGTATTTTGGTAATTATGAAATGTAGCTAAATCTTGTTCTTTACGTGTGTTCGTCAAGGACTGTACCGGTACAGAGTTGGGGACGTGCTTCGTGTGGCGGGATTCAAGAACAATGCGCCACAATTCAACTTCATATGCCGAAAGAATGTCGTGTTAAGCATCGACACTGATAAAACCGATGAAGTCGAGCTCCAAAATGCGGTCAAGAATGCGATTACGCATTTAGGCCCGTTTGATGCTAGTTTGGTTGAGTACACGAGTTATGCGGACACTGGCACTATTCCGGGACATTACGTGCTTTATTGGGAGCTCGGTCAAAATGGGCCTGTCCAAATTCCTCCTTCGGTTTTCGAGGATTGTTGCCTCACGGTTGAGGAATCACTCGACTCTGTGTACCGGCAAAATCGGGCTTTTGAGGCCATTGGCCCGCTCGAGATCAGGATTGTTGGGCCCGGGACTTTTGATAAGCTCATGGATTATGCAATTAGCCTTGGGGCGTCTATCAATCAGTATAAGGCCCCAAGGTGCGTTAAGTTTGCGCCGATAGTCGAGCTTTTGAACTCGAGGGTCGAGTCGAGTTTTTTCAGCCCCAAGTGCCCAAAGTGGACGGGGCCGGGCCTGAAGCAGTGGAGCAACAATATTATGAGTTGAGGAATTTGGTTTATTAAAAAAAAAAAAATGTTGCGGATTTTTTTGGTAATTTTAACTAATCATTTTTATGGTTCTCTCTTTGTTAATGCTACTCATGTAATTTCACCTGTTGTGGATTATGGTAGAATGTTTCATTTTTCACCGAGTAGCCCACTAGCCCGTGTACTAATTAATAAATCAGATCCTATAATAAATAAATAAAAAAAAAATGTTGGGTTTTTGTTTTTTGTTCTTTTCATGCCAGCTGTTTTATTCTTTTTTATTTNCTTTTTTGATTAAACTCATATTAAAGCAACTTTAAAATGGTTCCCAAAATAAATAAACATAACAAATATGAGAGGGGTCTCTTTTGATCGTTTGAAGATGTTGATTAATACTTTGAAGTTTGAAACACTAAAATGTAAAATTAAATGGAAACATAAGCGAATAAAGCCATAATCTAACTAACTGATTTACGAATTATTAATTTTTGCAACATGTGTTTGTACTTCACGAGTGTATGTAGATGACAGATGTGAATCCTTACTTTAAGTAAAACAACGGAAAATGGACTGTTTAGTATTTTTAATAAAATATTTCACTTCTATGAATTTAAATCCTGGATAATTCACGTTGACCTTGCCATGCAGAAACTCACAAATGCATCTTTTACATAATATTTTTAATATATCAATAGAATGTGTAATGGTATAGAGATTCTTGATTTTAAAATTGATGACTCGACTTTTTTAGCATAAAATTGACACTGTTTAGTTATATGTATTGTCGATTTTAAGAGAATTGCATGTATAAATAATGACATACGAATCCCCTGATATCATTATTTTCATTTCGCATATTACTTCTTTCACTGCATTAAATTTTAAATAGACATATCTGCTAAACATTATGACAAATATATATAGATAAAGGAAATATTAATTTTCACCCCGTTTAAAAAATAAATAAGTTTTTCAATTACCGAATAAAAATATCATCTCAAAAAGTACGAAAGCATTATGCGACAATTATGTAATTAATATTGTGCGAAAGTTCATAATATAAAGGCATTCGCGTAATTTTTCACACTTTATAATGTGAATATGCGTTTAAATAAATTTCATACGAGCTTTGCTTTCAAGTTACTTAAAAATTAATGCTTCTGAATCTTATGCTCATACATTACATCTATGTGGTTGCACATCATTAAGGAAGAAGTTAAATAAAAAATTTAAATATATTAATCAACGGTACATTGATATAATTGAATAATGATTAGATAGTCTAACGGTAACATTTGTAATTAACAGATATAGTAACATTTGTATTTAATTAACGACCGGACAATGCTATATCTATATGTACAATTATAGTTGACAACATTAAGTAAAATTTTCGTTGAGTCAAATCTTAGTCATTCATTTTGCATCCACATCATACCACATTATGTTGGTATGAAATGTTGTACAAAACAATTGTACAAGTAGCTTTGTCCTTACTATAGGGCCGAGTTGAGACAGAGATACTATATATATCAACTTTCAACTGACACTGTAGACAGGACATGAATAATCAGGTTTTATGTTGAAAAGGAAATCTACTTGAAAATTGACAATGATGTTATTATTAAACGATATCAGGACATGAAAACTCGTAATGTCTTTGTATTTGCACTTTTTGTTGATATTTTTTTCATTAAATATTCAGGTCCCCTTATTCTATTTGTTAGATCTCTCATTCTATTTGTTAGATCCGCTCCTGACTGTATAAATACTTTAATATGAAAAATGTTACTTGACAATTGAGAAAGTTTTAGATAGGTATGGTAGCACATCATGGAACCTTATCATAAACATGTAAAATGACTGACAACGAAAAAGAAAAAAAGAATTTGAGCAATATTACACGGGCTAAAAGATGATAGTTTAAAATATAACTTTAATTTATTGGAAGTACTTAACAATATAGGATAATATTGATCCATTGAGTTAACACCACCATAAGCACAATGCTTTGAAAGATTAGACACCGTTTGTTTATGCTTATGAAAGATTAGACACCGCTTGTTTATCATGCATTACTCGCGCCCAAATAGTGACATGCAATGATATTTATGCGGGTGATGTAATTGTATTGAACATGTATTATTTATATATATCCAAAACTTTATTCGATACTCAACTAATATGTCTGAAAAGTTATTTTTTGATAAGTTTTCTATATTAGAATGGGTATTTTGTTCATAATATTAAACGTATATAATTTCGAATAAAATATATAAAAAAAAAATTATACCCGACCCATATTATTAAAATTTTGAAATATATCTCCTAATACCAGTGTCACACCATATTCATAGTTCATATCCATGTTGGATTTCAGTCGTACAAATCAATCGCACACGCAGCGGAATTTTAAAATTTTCTTACCAACAATGAAGATCCGGCTATAGCTATTCGATTTGATCATAGATCTGTGAGAACTTACAGTTTAACTTTGCTTTCAACTATGGTATCCACGCAATCCAGATCCCAGTGCACAATCCAACGCAGTGAATCCTTTCCGGTAAAGACGCTAGGAATCTTCAGTCAGAAAGCAAGAGAGAGTTTTTGTGTTTTTACGGCGTATATCAATTACCTGATCTAATCATCTGATGAAGAGATAACCATCTATTTATAATCAGGCTAAACCTAATTATATGGGCTTTAGGATAACTTATAGCCCAATAGGTAATTGGACCTAATCCAATTAATAATGATTTAATTAAGTCTAAGTCCAATTAAACTTAATTATATATTTTCTATCTGATAGAAAATAATCTCATTACTAAAATTAACTATTCCAATCTAATTGAATACAAAACACTCTCGATTCACTCTTAGTCGGAAAATGGATTGCATATTGTGTGACCCTATAGACCTTCATATATTGACATAAATCTAATTTGTGATCCTTACGAAACTCCTAGACTGCGTCGAAGGACGAACTCAAAATATGAAGTACATTTACATAGACAAAGCAAACAAACCTTTAATGTAGAATTCAATAGTGATACGGTCCCTTCATTCACGACCCACTCGATTAAGTTTAAGATTTGAACGTGTGTCTATCCAAAAAGCTTAATCATTTTATCTCAACTCACTGGTTGATTTCAATTAATTATATTTTAACACCATTTCAAATATAATCACGTGCATTGGCCAATGACTTTATCAACCCAGTATAGAGAAAACGAGTGTTCTCTCGAAACTATATTCGAGGAATGAATCCTATTTTGGCTCAACTACTAATTCCATGTATATCGTGACCTACCCAACATAAGTCCGTATCTACTCATAAGGGCGTAAGCTATGGACTAGGTCTAAGTGAATCACTTTATATATGAATTGCATATTGACCTCAAGTCAAAGGACTATTACACCATTCCACACCCGATACTCCCATAGACACATAAACAAATGGTTTATCGGTAGGGTATACCAATACTCTCCAAAGTATCCATGTGTTCATCACGAATAACAATTATTCATAGTAGTGAGACATACTATATTCTCAAAGAATGTGATGCAGACCAAATGTCAATCTATCACGTATCATTAATATCCCTTTTCTTAATGATCATCGATTTAGGTAATTTAAGAGTTATACTCTATCAATTAACATCTCACTCTGTTAATGACAGTACTTACTCAAGGAAGCCATTAATTAATAAATTACAGAAAATCAAAAGAATTCATCAATTAATGCAAAACCATGAATATCATCAAATATAATATGAATGTGATCAAGTACATTTGTCCAAAATTGATTGTCTCTAGGACACATATACTAACAATCTCCCAATCTCTCTTCCAATGTCCTTTCTCCTTACAGAAGAGACATGTATCCTTGGACAATTTCGGCTTCTTGTTAACTCCTCCCTTAGGTTTCAAGGTTGCGGGCTTAGAAGCAACTTTAGCCCCTTTCTTCTGCTTATTCTTACCCTTTGGGTTAGATCTAGCAGAAGTACTCACCATGAGTACAGCCTTTCCTTTGGAAGTGGATGACTCGTAAGTCTTAAGCATGTTGTGCAACTCAGGCAACTTCGGCTCGTATTATTCATATTATAATTCACTATGAAGTTAGAACATGAATCAGGGAGCGTCTGCAAGATGATGTTCACAGCGACATGATCTTGAAGCCTCGTTCCAATCGAAGCCAATTTTTCAATCAGTTCAATCATCTTCAGAACATGCTCGGAGACTTTACCCCCATCATGTAGTCTGCACTTAAAGAGGTCCATCAACAGTTCAAACTCCAAAGTCTGAGACTGTGAATCATAGAGACTCTTCAAATGCTCCAACATTTCATAGGGCTTCATCCCATCATGTTGCCTCTGCAACTCAGTGGACATAGAGGACAACATGACACATTGAGCCGAAATTTTATCGTCCCCGTGCTTCTTATGAGCAACATGGTCAAACGTAGCATACTCAGAAGAAGTCTGTTCAGGCACAACAGGTATCTTTGTGTCCAACACATACTAAATCCGTTCTTGCCTTAATACCAAACGCAGCCAGTCAGGAAAATTCGGTCCAGTCAACTTGTTCGTTTCCATCAAACATTTCAATGATAAGTTCGACATCTTATTCAACCTAGAAAAATATATTGAACATGAATTAAAACAACATGATCACATTCGTTAACTAAATTAGTATGGCTTTTAATTAATATAGCTCCCACTATTTTTACATACTCTACGACCCCTTCAGAAGAGTTCATTCGGACTCATATCAAATATAGTCATAGTGAGCCAAGATCCACATCCATCCCATTATAGGCCCAGCTAGGGTTGATCACTATAATGTATGTAGTTGTAGGTCTCTAAACCAATTGTAAGCAATTACAACTCTTGGTTGATCAAATCTAATTGGATGGACGTCCTTACATCATTCCGACGCTAGGGCGACAAGAATTAACTAAGTAAGTCAAAACCATCACACGATCACAAACATATGAATCTATGAATGAGTCTGAGCCTCGTAGCCCTAAGCAAACACTAGGGTGTAAATACTTTTGGACGAAGAGGTTTTTGCACTCATTCAATTGTGATGGGTGACGTCATGCATCCAAGATGAGACTTATATTTTTATTAGAAGAACATTTGAACGGGGTATTAAATTTCCAATATTCAAACAAGATCCAACAAATAACACATATCGGGCACCGCCTACCCGAGCATAATATAACGTTGTCCG